CCACTTGAGACTTACCAAGCGACTGAGGCACATCATCACCTTCTACTATCACTGTGTAAAGTTCCTCATCTTCTTTCACATCATCCCATTCCTCCTCCGAGACACAAAGAGCAACACCTTCAACCTCGCTTTGTCCCTAATTGAGAAAAAGATTTAATATTTTGTGTGATTGTACAAGCCACAAACTTTCATGTATCAGGCGTATTGTTGGTTGCCTTCTCAATTAAAAGGACACTATAGTCACCAGAACAATTACAGCTTAATGTAGTTGTTCTGGTGTCTCTAACATGTCCCTGCAGGCTTTTGCAGTAAACACTACATTTCAGCGTAAAGGCAGTGTTTACATTAGTGCCTAGAGATATCTCCAGTGGCAGTCACTCAGACGGCTATGGGACGTGCTTCCTGTGTCAGTGCTGCACATTCGTTTAGCGTCTCCACGCTCTGCATGTAGGCTTTGAAATTTCCCCTTATAGATGCATTGATTCAATGCATCTCTATAGGGAGATGCCGATTGGCGCAGCACATCATTTTGATGTCAGCCAAGGGGGCAGAGTGTGGGTGGAGTCAGCATTGGCAGACGCACAAGGCACTAGACTAGAATAAATGTAAGTTCTCATTCTTTTTAAAAGAGGTCCTGTTACAAGTGTTTTTTTTATTTTTTATTTTTAACACTATAGGGTCAGGACTACACATTTGTATTCCTGACCATATAGCGTTCCTTTAACACTTCTTCCTATAAGCACAATTTGGTCAGGCTAAACAGAGCATTTAACTTAGGGACATCTGAAACGAAGCAACTCTGAATGTGAATTCTGTGCAAATTTGGCAGTGTGTCTAGGATATGTGATTACATTGCTAATAATGCGGGAGCATGTGGCAGGTTATGCACAGATAATCTGTATGCATGTGTTTACATGTCTGCAGGTGGCTAGTCATGTAGGTGTCGCTATGTTTGTTTAGGAGAGAAGAATAATAACTCCTTACCTGTCCACTATTTTCATATTCCATACATGGAGTCTTAACTGAGACCTCCTCATTGGCTTCCATCTTGCACTTGATTACAAAAACCACATGTGATTACTTGGACACTGGATTCCAGTTCTTGCAAAAAAAAAATTCTCTCAGTGGGTGCAATACAGTTCTTCAAATAAATTACATCCTGCAGTAAGACATAAAAAGGTTAGGGCAATTTACTTATCCAGAAACTGGGCTTTAGGCACTAGCCTGATGTTTCGTCTACTCAATTTTAATAATGCATATTTCATTTGATACCATTTTAAATTATTTCTTATTTAGCATGATTTACATACAATGCATGTATGGGTAAAAATTTATATATTGTCTATAATAAGTTTGTTTAGAAATAGAAAGCTACAGGAAAAATAAAGGTTTTGACAGAGCTTTAATTGGGAACTGTCAGATACCAGGATTTTTCATGCTCAGTTTACTGATACCATATCTTAAACACATATGTATTTGTGAGGTGTGAAAAAATAAATATAATTAAATGTAGAAACCCACACCTCTTCATCCTGCAAGCTGGTGCTTCCATCTTAGCTCCCTGTCAATCATTGTTATAAGCTGTGTCCTTTGTACCTGACAAGCAGTATAAAGAAAGCATACAGAGAAGACAAACAAAATAAGCATGGTTTCTATTTACCTTCCTCATTTGCATTCTGTGCCCTGACTCTGCCTGGACCAAAGCAGGCTGGTGGGGTTATTCATTAAAATTGAGCAATGCCAGGAACTGAAAGTGAATTTTAAAATTTCGGCCACAATTGCTGAATTGGAAAAATCTTTCAAGTTACTTCTACTAGCAGTTTTTCAAATTCAATTTGAAATCCTTGCAATTTAGTAAAAAAAAAAAATTAAAAATTAAAAAATAAAATCTTGTGGCAAACTGCTTAATATTTAGAATAAAATTTATGGAAAAACGGAGCATCACGTGAAAAAACAAAAGGTTACATTTTTGATGACATTCAATGTTTTGTTTAATGATTGAATTTCTAGACGAGTGACGAATCCCTTCTAAATTAGCATTTTTGCTCTTTAATTTAGGCCTAACTTTGCCTAAAACAAGTTTGTTACAGTGAACCTAAAAAAAAACAAAAAAACAACCACATTCCTAAAAGGTGTACAAACCAGGTAATGTCACGATAGAGCTATGTGCATCTGATTGAAAAATGCCATACAAGCGTGTGTGTTGGCATTCTTTAATTGTTGCATTTTGCCCTAACTGCATCATTAGTGTTAAAGGACCACTATAGTGCCAGGAAAACAAACTCTTTTTCCTGGCACTCTAGTGCCCTGAGGGTGCCCCCACCCTCAGGGTCCCACTCCTGCCGGGCTGAAGGAGGAGGAAGGGGTTGAACACTCACCTTCCTCCAGCGCGCAGTCAGTCCATAGGAAAGCATTCTCAATGCTTTCCTATGGACGCTGGCGTCTTCTCACGGTGAAAAACTCGGAAGCGCCTCTAGCGGCTGTCAATGAGACAGCCACTAGAGGCTGGATTAACCCTATGTACACACAGCAGTTTCTCTGAAACTGCTTTGTTTACAGCAAGCAGGGTTAACCCTAGGTGGACCTGGCACCCAGACCACTTCATTGAGCTGAAGTGGTCTAAGTGCCCATAGTGGTCCTTTAAATTAAACAGCACTGTATGCTCAAGTTGCATCTCCAAATTACAGTAATACTAATCAGACATGCTTTGGTGTTTTCTTAAATTTACATGTAAAACAAAAAGTGAAGGCAAAGTACAGTTTTCAAATATTTGATGTTCACACATTGCTTTATTATGCCCATGTCTCATTTGAGGAATTTTATGAGCTTGCTTACATTTGAATATTCTGTATATAAAACACATATATGTATAGATTAATGGCAGGTATAAAGAAGAAAAAAAATTTAAAAAAAATCAAAGGAAGCAAAAATGGCTCCAAAAGCACTTGTTATAAGTCTACCTCTCACTATGCAGTCTCCTCTCACTCGGATGACACAGGGAATAAGGAAAGACCTGCACAGAAACTCAGAAACTGTGTGATCAGAACAGGTGTGATGCAAGGAGATCTGTTTGGGATCTTTTTAGACCCACAATGTCATTTGACATGTGTAGATTTGAAAGCATTTTATGCATCTATCTAGCCAGAATGGGTCACTATATGTGGCCCCAGCTGACAGTCTGGCTGAAGCTACAATAGTAAATTTTAGCTGCAATAATTTGAGTCAGTCTGCAATAGACTGACTACAGAACCTCAGCTCCTCTCTCCTGATTCAGGATAGGTGGCTTATTAATGGTGATGGAAAACTGTGATACTGCCCAGGCCCTATTTTGTTGTATCGTGTGTCAGTGAGGGACAGAGAGGGGCAGTTCATGTAATATCTCTATATAATGTGAGTTATTCCTGTGATGGAGTCAGTGAAGGACAGAGAGGGGCAGTTCATGTAATATCTCTATATAATGTGAGTTATTCCTGTGATGGAGTCAGTGAGGGACAGTTCATGTAATATCTCTATATAATGTGAGTTATTCCTGTGATGGAGTCAGTGAGGGACAGAGAGGGGCAGTTCATGTAATATCTCTATATAATGTGAGTTATTCCTGTGATGGAGTCAGTGAAGGACAGAGAGGGGCAGTTCATGTAATATCTCTATATAATGTGAGTTATTCCTGTGATGGAGTCAGTGAGGGACAGTTCATGTAATATCTCTATATAATGTGAGTTAGTCCTGTGATGGAGTCAGTGAGGGACAGTTCATGTAATATCTCTATATAATGTGAGTTATTCCTGTGATGGAGTCAGTGAGGGACAGAGAGGGGCAGTTCATGTAATATCTCTATATAATGTGAGTTATTCCTGTGATGGAGTCAGTGAAGGACAGAGAGGGGCAGTTCATGTAATATCTCTATATAATGTGAGTTATTCCTGTGATGGAGTCAGTGAGGGACAGAGAGGGCAGTTCATGTAATATCTCTATATAATGTGAGTTATTCCTGTGATGGAGTCAGTGAGGGGCAGAGAGGGGCAGTTCATGTAATATCTCTATATAATGTGAGTTATTCCTGTGATGGAGTCAGTGAGGGACAGAGAGTAAGTGTCTATGTAATATCCTATATAATGTGAGTTATTCCCTGTGATGGAAGTGAGGGACAGAGAGGGGCAGTTCATGTAATATCCTATATAATGTGAGTTATCTCTGGATGGAGTCAGTGGGGACACAGAGAGGGCAGTTCATGTAACATCTCTATATATAATGTGAGCTATTCCGTGGATGGAGCCAGTGAGGGACAGAGAGGGGCAACCATGTAATATCTCTAGGCGAGTAATGAGTTATTCCGTGATGGAGTGAGTGAGGGACAGTTCAAATAACTCTATATAATGTGAGTTATTCCTGTGATGGAGTCAGTGAGGGACAGAGAGGGACAGTTCATGTAATATCTCTATATAATGTGAGTTATTCCTATGATGGAGTCAGTGAAGGACAGAGAGGGGCAGTTCATGTAATATCTCTATATAATGTGAGTTATTCCTGTGATGGAGTCAACAAAGTGAGGGGCAGTTCATGTAATATTCCCTATATAATGTGAGTTATCTCTGTGATGGAGTCAGTGAGGGGCAGTTCATGTAATATCTCTGGCATAATGTGAGTTGGTTCCAGATGGAGCCAGTGAGGGACACAGAGAGGGGCAGTTCATGTAATATCTCTATATAATGTGAGTTATTCCTGTGATGGAGTCAGTGAAGGACAGAGAGGGACAGTTCATGTAATATCTCTATATAATGTGAGTTATTCCTGTGATGGAGTCAGTGAGGGACAGAGAGGGGCAGTTCATGTAATATCTCTATATAATGTGAGTTATTCCTGTGATGGAGTCAGTGAGGGACAGAGAGGGGCAGTTCATGTAATATCTCTATATAAGGTGAGTTATTCCTGTGATGGAGTCAGTGAGGGACAGAGAGGGGCAGTTCATGTAATATCTCTATATAATGTGAGTTATTCCTGTGATGGAGTCAGTGAGGGACAGAGAGGGGCAGTTCATGTAATATCTCTATATAATGTGAGTTATTCCTGTGATGGAGTCAGTGAAGGACAGAGAGGGTCAGTTCATGTAATATCTCTATATAATGTGAGTTATTCCTGTGATGGAGTCAGTGAGGGACAGTTCATGTAATATCTCTATATAATGTGAGTTATTCCTGTGATGGAGTCAGTGAGGGACAGAGAGGGGCAGTTCATGTAATATCTCTATATAATGTGAGTTATTCCTGTGATGGAGTCAGTGAAGGACAGAGAGGGACAGTTCATGTAATCTCTCTATATAATGTGAGTTATTCCTGTGATGGAGTCAGTGAAGGACAGAGAGGGGCAGTTCATGTAATATCTCTATATAATGTGAGTTATTCCTGTGATGGAGTCAGTGAGGGACAGAGAGGGGCAGTTCATGTAATATCTCTATATAATGTGAGTTATTCCTGTGATGGAGTCAGTGAGGGGCAGAGAGGGGCAGTTCATGTAATATCTCTATATAATGTGAGTTATTCCTGTGATGGAGTCAGTGAGGGGCAGAGAGGGGCAGTTCATGTAATATCTCTATATAATGTGAGTTATTCCTGTGATGGAGTCAGTGAGGGGCAGAGAGGGGCAGTTCATGTAATATCTCTATATAATGTGAGTTATTCCTGTGATGGAGTCAGTGAGGGACAGAGAGAGGCAGTTCATGTAATATCTCTATATAATGTGAGTTATTCCTGTGATGGAGTCAGTGAGGGACAGAGAGGGGCAGTTCATGTAATATCTCTATATAATGTGAGTTATTCCTGTGATGGAGTCAATGAGGGACAGTTCATGTAATATCTCTATATAATGTGAGTTATTCCTGTGATGGAGTCAGTGAGGGACAGAGAGGGGCAGTTCATGTAATATCACTATATAATGTGAGCTATTCCTGTGATGGACTCAGTGAGGGGCAGAGAGGGGCAGTTCATGTAATATCTCTATATAATGTGAGTTATTCCTGTGATGGAGTCAGTGAGGGACAGAGAGGGGCAGTTCATGTAATATCTCTATATAATGTGAGCTATTCCTGTGATGGAGTCAGTGAGGGGCAGAGAGGGGCAGTTCATGTAATATCTCTATATAATGTGAGTTATTCCTGTGATGGAGTCAGTGAAGGACAGAGAGGGGCAGTTCATGTAATATCTCTATATAATGTGAGTTATTCCTGTGATGGAGTCAGTGAGGGACAGAGAGGGGCAGTTCATGCAAATATTCCCATATACGAGTTCTGTGATGGAATGGAGGGACGAGGGCAGTTCATGTAATATCACTCATATAACGTGAGCTATTCCGTGATGGAGCCTTTCAGTGAGGGGCAGAGAGGGGCAGTTCATGTAATATCTCATATAATGTGAGTTATTCCTGTGATGGAGCCAGTGAGGGGGCAGAGAGGGGGCAGTTCATGGCCATCTCATATAATGTGAGTTATTCCTGTGATGGAGCTTGTGTGAGGGGCAGAGAGGGGCAGTCTGCGTAATATCTCATATACGTGAGTACCCCGGATGGAGTCAGTGAGGACACAGAGAGGGGCAGTTCATGTAATAGCTCTATATAATGTGAGTTATTCCTGTGATGGAGTCAGTGAGGGGCAGAGAGAGGCAGTTCATGTAATATCTCTATATAATGTGAGTTATTCCTGTGATGGAGTCAGTGAGGGACAGAGAGGGCAGTTCATGTAATATCTCTATATAATGTGAGTTATTCCTGTGATGGAGTCAGTGAGGGACAGTTCATGTAATATCTCTATATAATGTGAGTTATTCCTGTGATGGAGTCAGTGAGGGACAGAGAGGGGCAGTTCATGTAATATCACTATATAATGTGAGCTATTCCTGTGATGGAGTCAGTGAGGGGCAGAGAGGGGCAGTTCATGTAATATCTCTATATAATGTGAGTTATTCCTGTGATGGAGTCAGTGAGGGGCAGAGAGGGGCAGTTCATGTAATATCTCTATATAATGTGAGTTATTCCTGTGATGGAGTCAGTGAGGGACAGAGAGGGGCAGTTCATGTAATATCTCTATATAATGTGAGTTATTCCTGTGATGGAGTCAGTGAGGGACAGAGAGGGGCAGTTCATGTAATAGCTCTATATAATGTGAGTTATTCCTGTGATGGAGTCAGTGAGGGGCAGTGCATGGTATCTCTCTCTCTCTCTCTCTCTATATTTATATATGATTATTATTATGATTATGATTATTATTGGTTACCATGGCGGCCCGGGCTCTGCATTCTATCTTACCTCCATGCAGACACACTCAGTGACCCCCTCCCTTCCCCCCCTGCTTCCCCCCCTCATGCCCTTTATATGACCCCCGCACACACCTACCCACTCCCGGGGTATCTGCACTGTCTCCACTACCCCTTCAGCTAGACCGAGCGCTGCGTTAGGCCAACAAAGAAAGCCACGCCTGCTGAATTCCTCGCGCGCAGGTTCTGACGTGCTACCTGCCGCGCGAAGGCTCACGGTAGATGTAGTTCGTTATCTCACAACCCGCCAGGTGAAGGTTGCGCATGCGCCGGGTGTATAATGGAGGTCCAAAGTACCATAGAGGGGGGAGGGCTATACACATACCATAGAGAGGATATAGTGGCCAAACAATCCCTGATACCATAGAGAGGAAATAGTGGCCAAACAATCCCTGATACCATAGAGAGGAAATAGTGGCCAAACAATCCCTGATACCATAGAGAGGAAATAGTGGCCAAACATTCCCAGATACCATAGAGAGGAAATAGTGGCCAAACATTCCCAGATACCATAGAGAGGAAATAGTGGCCAAACATTCCCTGATAATTTATACCAGGACTTCAAAAGCCCCTTTCTTAACCCCTTAAGGACCAAACGTCTGGAATAAAAGGGAATCATGACATGTCACACATGTCATGTGTCCTTAAGGGGTTAAATTTGTTTAGTAGATAACTCCCATATTTGTTATCCTTATGTGGGATTGCCATATTTAAGGATAACAACTTAGGTAGCTATTTACTAAACAAATACACAAGTATATGCACACACAATCATAGAACTATACACAACCAAAAATATACACACAATCACAGACCCACACACACATATATAATCATAGACCTATACACACACATTATCACAGATGTACACTCATGCACAGACATACACACACAATCATAGACCCACATGTGCATACAATCAGAGACCTATACACACAAATACACACACAATGATAGACCTATGGACACTGTCACATACATACACACATAATCACATACATACACAATCACAGACCCACACATACACTCACAGACCTATACGTACAATTACAAACATACACGCACACAATCAGAGACCTATACACACAGTCACATACATACACATATAATCACAGATACACAAACACAATCACATACATAAACAATCACAGACCAACACATGCACATGCAATCACAGACCTATACACACAATCACAGACCTATACACAGGCATACATATACACACAATAACATACATACATACACACACACAATCACAGACCCACACAGACATACACACAATTACTGACTAAACCTAAACAAAAATTACATTCATACTTAAGAGGTCACCCTGCCTCCCTACCTTGTTCTAGGTGGGCTGGAATATAACCTGTGTCTCTGGTGGCCAGCAGTTGCTGCTGGGCTGGGATCTCTGTGCTCATACTGCACAAGTACCTTGTGCTCCCAGGAGGAGCACAGTATGTGAAGGTCTCCCTTACTCCCTCGCCACCTGGCTGCATGGATGGCAACCGGGCCGCATTGCTAGCAGTCCCCCTGGACCGCGTATTGACCACCCCTGATAAGATGACACAGTATGTGTTTCTCTCTACTACACTCTGTTACTAGACACTGTGTTATCAGAGACAGACTCTCTTTTGCCAGGTACAGACCCTCTGTTACCAGTAACAGACACTCTTATCAGTGACAGACACTCTGTTATCAGGGACAGACACTCTTTTGCCAGTGACAGACACTCTGTTATCAGGGACAGACACTCTGTTATCAGGGACAGACAATCTGTTATCAGCGACAGAAACTCGGTTATCAGGGACAATCACACTGTTGCCAGTGACAGACACTCTGTTACCAGGGACAGGCACTCTGTTATCAAGGACAGACACTCTTATCAGTGACAGACACTTTATTGTCTGGGACAGTCACTCAGTTATCAGGGACAGACAATCTTTTGCCAGTGACAGACACTCTGCTGCGAGTGACAGACACTCTATCGGGTCGACACAGTGTTACCAGGGACAAACACTCTGTTATGAGGGACATATACTTTGTCATGTTATCAAGGACATACATTCTGTTATCAAGGAAAGACACTTTGTTATGTTATCAAGGACAGACGTTCTGTTTTCAGGGACAGACAGTGTGTTACCAGGAATAGACACTCTTCTACCAGGGACAGACACTCTGTTATCTGGGACAGACACTGTGTTACCAGAGACATACACTCTTATCAGTGACAGACACTGTGTTACCAGAGAGAGACACTTTGTTACCTGGGACAGTCACTCAGTTATCAGGGACAGACACTCTTTTGCCAGTGACAGATACTCTGTTACCAGTGACAGACACTCTGTTGCTAGTGACAGACACTCTGTTATCAGGGGCCGACACAGTGTTATCTGGGACAGACACTCTTTTATCGAGGACAGATACTCTGTTATCAGGGACAGACACTCTGTTATCTGGGACAGACACTCTATTACCAGGTACAGACACTCTGTTATCTGGGACAGACACTCTGTTACCAGGGACAGACATTCTGGTATCAGTGACAGACTGTGATGATCTGGCCCTGGCGTCTCTGTTACCGAAGGCCGAATATCGTTAGTGGGTACTTGCATTAACTTGCACATCTGATCGCTTTACTAAGTACTATGACCTAGGCTTGGAGTCGCTTTATCCACCAGCAATCGCATAATAGAAGACCTTGGATAGGTGCAGCAAAGAAAGAGACAAGAAGCTTCATTTTTGGTACAAACAGCACTTTACATCACTATATACAAACTACACTTCCCTTTCCCCATCTGCAAGTCCACCTTGACAACAAAAGCAAACCTAGATCGGCCAGACAGATATCTCAGCATGGGAAAGGCTCTGCCTCTAGTGGCATGTGACATATTAAAGTCCCTTTTTCTCACACAGACACTCTGTTATCAGTGACAGACACTCTGTTATGGTTGTCACTGGCCAGGTGGTCAGATGGAGACGGCAGTGCCCCTCTTTACTGCCCCAACAAGCTGAGCCACCAGACACCACACAAACTGCATCCACTAGACAAACAAACACATCATCCACTAAACAAACACAAACACAGCATCCAGTACACGAACACACAAACTGCATTCACTACAAAAACATACACCACATTCACTATACACACAGCATCTACTACACAAACACACATAGCATCCACTACACAAACACATACAGCATCCACTACACAAACACCACATTCACTATACACACACACTACATCCACTACACAAACACACACTCTGCATTCACTATACACATGATACACCCACTACACACACATGCACTCTGCATCCTTTACACACACACGAACTCTGCATTCACTATACACATACTACATCCACTACACAAACATACACTCTGCATTCACTATACACCCACAACATCCACTACACAAACACACACTCTGCATTCATTACCCACACTACATCCACTACGCAAACACACACTCTGCATTCATTACCCACACTACATCCACTACGCAAACACACACTCTGCATTCATTACCCACACTACATCCACTACGCAAACACACACTCTGCATTCATTATCCACACTACATCCACTACTCAAACACACACTCCGTATTCACTATACACACACTACATCCACTACACAAACATGCACTATGCATTCATTATACACACACTGTATTCACTATACACACAAACACTACATCCACTACACAAACATGCACTCTGCAATTACTATACACACACTACATCCACTACACAAACATATACTCTGCATTCACCATACACCCACAACATCCACTACACAAACCACAAACACACACTCTGCATTCATTTTTCTGACACAGCTATCCCTGCTCTGGATGATCACCTCGCTTCTATTCATGAGACTTAGACCAAAGTTCACTCTGCCCTCGAGACTGCGACTGCTCGTTTCAAATTTCATGCTAACAAACGGCGGGGTTCCAACCTTGTTTAGCAGGTGGGTGTGGTTATCATCGCACAACATCAAACTAAAAGTTCCTAACATGAAATTTGCCCCTAGATTCCTTGGTCCATTTCGTATCATTCGTAAAATTAATTCTGTTTCATATTCTCTGGCACTTCCTACCTCCTGGACCGGAGGAGTATGAAGTGTCCTCCATAATTGATTCCAGGTTTTCTTGTGGTTACTTACAGTATTTGGTTGATTGGTGGGGGTATGGGCCTGCCGAGCGTTCTTGGGTTCCGGCTTCCGACATTCATGCTGGCCGCAAGATTCGTTCTTTCAATGCCAAGTTTCCTCTGAAACCTGGTCCTGCCTGCCCGGTAGGCGATCTTCAGGTGAGGGGTAATGTAACATATTCATCCTCACCTTGTGGTACCTGCGGTAGTAATTGCCTTCCTGACAATAACGGAAGTGCCGCTCAGCAGCCATGCGCCAGTATACCTGACTCCTGCAACATGATGGTGGACGCTGGCTGCTGCGGATCCACGCCATTTTATAGCCCCACGTCTGCCCACGGTAATGATGCCTTCAATGTGCGCGTGACGTCATGCAAAAGACGCGCACGCACGTTCTGGGGTCAAGGGCCGGTTACGGCCAATCGGATCTGTAGGAGGCTTATTTAAACACATTTTGACTTCTTCTCATTGCTCTGTCATGGTTTCCCTTAGTTGGTGATCCGAGAGTGTGTTCTTGAGTGTTTATTTCTGGTTATTGACTTTGGCTTCGTTTTGTCTTCCCTGTATTCTGGTATCCTTGACTTTTGGCTTTCCCTCATCATTGTGTCTCCTTCTGTGTCCCTGAACTCGGCAAGTATTCTGACTATTCTCTGGTACGTTAAGTCCGGCCATTCCAAGGCCCGGTAAGACGTTACCTTTAGTCCAAGGTGTGATATAATTCTGCGTGCTAGATCTACTAGTAATCCTGACAGTCTGTCTGTGTGTGTGTGTCAGTATGTCTGTGTGTGTGTGTGTGTCAGTATGTCTGTCTATGTTTGTGCAAGTATGTCTGTCTATGTGTGTGTGTGTCATTATATCTGTCTGTGTGAGTCAGCATGCGTGTAAGAGTGTGTCTGTCTGTGTGTGTGTGTCTGTCAGTGAGTGTGTGCGTGTGCCTGTCAGTGAGTGTGTGTTTGTTAGTGTGTGTCAAATCAGCAAGTGTGTGTGTCCCTATCAGTGAGTGTGTCTGTCTAGGTGACTGCCCCCCCTTTCAATCACATGGGAAAGGTGTTTTTACTCTGCTCTTGGTTTCAATGGGCCACTTGACTGGATTTGCCCCCTAGGCCTAAGGCTGCCATCCCTCCCCTGAGATAAGGCATATCTATAGAAACTATAAGTGGACTCAGCTTTCTAGATATCAAGGCTATTTATCGAGCCTATATAATAGCTCATATATATAGACTCCAAAGGGAGCTAAATGCTAATCAAGCATAGTATGATATGGAAAGATCAAGTCTAAAAACAAAACCAATAGACTTATTCTATTCTGTCTAGAACCCTAAATACATGATGACAAATATGTATTTAAAAAAGCCAAGCAGGGTGGCGTGATCTGACGAGGAGCAAGCTTGACATGCTTGCTTGAGACTCCGCTCCAGTATCACCGCCATAAGTTACAAAAGCATATTTTATACCAACCGAGATGAATATATTTTTTAAATAAATTTTAATAAATAATCTCCAATTTTTGCAATAGACTTCTTTTTACTTTTAGTATACTCATTTTTGCTAATAACATAAGTAAATAAACCATCAAACATATATGGAGCCAGTATCTTTAGACAAATGAACCAGCCCCCATAATTAGAGTGATAAGAATCAACACCTTTGCACCAATTAGGCAATTTAGAATGCACATAAAAGAAGCCCCATTCATGCGGTGTTCAACAGTGTCTCCCTGAGGAAGTGAGCACAGAGCTCACGAAACATGTAGGAGTGAGAACACAGCATCACTGATACCATCACATCCTAGGACGATCTGAGTGCCCGGATCACGATCCTCAGGCTTCAATCTACGTGCACAAACCAGAGAGACGTTCAAAGCAGGAAGACGAGCACACTACACAGGATCCATTTTCAGCACAAGTACAATAAGCCACGCTACACAGGAGGATTCCTGAGACTGTTTCAATCTTTCAGCTCACTTTATAGCATCTAAAGGGATCGCTTAGATAGAACATAATACAAAAAACAGGTTGGATTACATCTCTGAATTTTAACCTACTTGAAGACTTTAGATATTTGTTTAATGTGAGCTAGACATTCAAGCTCTTTGTTTTTTTATTTTTAGTTTTTTTTTTCTCTTTTTTATTTACATTTTTAGAAGCATTAAATATGTGTTTTTTCTTAAGGAATTTTAACTTGCTTGTTTTTTATTCAGAATAAAGGATTTTTTTTACTGAAAGCTATATGCCCCTCTGCGCTCTTTTCTGTTTCTGGGTAGTAATATTGTATATATAGGAAATAGTAAGGATATTTCTCATTAAGAGCTGCATTGGGATACCAGCACATTTTTTAATATATATACAGCACCACCCATAGTAATATATATATATAAACATAAGAAGAACCTGGACCAGGCGGCGACAGTGGCAGACCTATTTGTGGCCTCGAGAGCCCTGCTGCCCGGATCACAAGATGGCGGATGCCCGGGCTTGCGGGCCTCTGGAACACCACAGTGGGCCGAGGCCACCACGAGAGGGAATCGTCCCAACCAGCCACGGCATGGATATTGTCGACCCTGGATGAGGCAAAGACTTACCTGGTAGGCGAGATCGTGCAGTCCACAGGCGTCCTGCGGGGGGAGATTCAGACCCTGGCCACATGGACGGCCAGAGTGGAACACCGTCTGGAGTTCACCACGGAGGCGCATAACTTGGTAATCAACCGACTAAATTATCTGAAGGCCAGGGTACACGCTGCTGATTTGGCGCTGGAAGATATGGGCAATTGCTCCAGACGCATCAACGTGCGCATCCGCGGCATACCGGAACGAGCAGGGGAAGGGCCCTTGGCGGACCTCGTGGTGCACATCTTGCAGCCGTTACTCCCAGGAATTCCACAGGCTATGAGTGGAAGCTGGTCACGAAGGTACTCTGAAATATGCCTGGGGCTACCCGTTTAAATAGATGGCCACCCACATGTATTGACCCCTGTGGCCTTTCTCGGTGCCATGGGGCTCCAAGTGCCGAGCACACTTCCAATCTTGGGAGCAGAAGTCACTGATCTGCTGCACCTACCAAGAGAGTGGCTTCAGGCCAGAGAATGAGCAGAGGCAACGTGCTGGAGAGGGTGAAAATTTTTTAAAGCGGGTAGTGAGGCATGGAAGGGACTTTCTCTCTGAGGGGTGGCGACTGGAGAGGCCTTTGGGTGGGGGATTTTGATTGCGGCCATGGTTTTCCAGGTTGGCTCCATCGGGCCTGATTCAAGGGCCAAATTTCCTCTGAAGGGGCATGGACTTTAACGCTGTGTCCTGCTGTCGACCGCAGCTCTCGCAGGGTACTCCCACACTCACAGGGCAGAAGGGGACAGGACTATACGTCAGTCGGCTCTGAGATTAGATCGATTACTTGGTCGGACCATGCTGACATAGCCCTCAAGTTGGGCAATCTGTGTACTGCCTCGCCGTGGTTATGGAAGCTAAACGCTTCTTTGTTGCGCGACTCTATGATCGTTTCGGCTATTCGCAAAGAATGACAAAAATGTTTTCTAAAGAATGATACGGGGAAACTTACGCTGAGTATGGTTTGGGCCACTCACATTATTTGAGGAACATTTATTCGACTGGCGACCATCAAAAAGAAACAGAAAACTTAATTGCTGCATTCCTTATTGTTATCACTATGCAATCTATAATCTATGCAACGCTATAAATCAGACTGTGCCACAGACATCCTACCTCAATTGAAAGCGGTATGGTTATCTATTCGGGATCTCCTTGTGGAAGACACGGCCAGGAATATATTATGGTCCAAGATGACCTTTTACTAGAAGGCCAATAAAATGGATACGATCCTGGCGAGATCATTGCGGCCAAACCAGACGTGGACACACATAACAAGTATTAGACATAGGGACGGGACATTAAAAACCGACCTGAAGGACATTGCGTCGGTATTTACAGATGTGACAAACGCCCTATGGTCTGGTCGTTTGTCACAAGCTCCTGGAGGTGCCTGCTAGTCAGCCTCCTGCCACAGGATTATGGGCCATACAAAATACCCCCCTGCAAACTACTCTGTCCGTGGTGATTTAGGATAGGCATGTGCATGGGAAAAAATTTCGGTTCGGTTCGACATTCCGAAATTCGGGACTTCGGCAATTCGGCAACTTCGACACTTTGGAAATTTGGTAACTTCAGGACCTCGGCAATTCGGCACTTCGACACTTCGTAACTTCGGCAACTTCGGCATTTCGGAACTTCTCTTGCAGCCGCTGAAAAGGCTGAAAGACCTAAATTAGTCTTTCAGACAAATTTACTAATACTAAGTAAAAATTACTTAGTATTTGTAAATTTTGCCCCTACTCACTATACTGCGGCTCACTGTTAAAAATAAATAAAATAAAGCCGGGGGGAGGACTTTAGTATTTAGGGCCCCCACAGTGGGGGCCAGGAGGGAGGACATTAGGTCCCCCCCTAATTAGTTTTTAGGGCCCCACCCACCTCTCAGGGGGGAGGACATAGGTCGCCCCCTCATTCTAATTTATGGCCCCCACCCACCGCTCAGGGGGAGGACATTAGGTGTCCCCCCAATTAGTTTCTAGGGCCCCCACTCACTGCTCAGGGCTGGGGGCCAGGGGTGGAGGACATTAGGTCCCCCCCTAATTAGTTTTTAGGGCCCCCACCCACCGCTATGGGGTGGGGGTCAGGGGTAGGACATTAGGTCCCCCCCTAATTAGTTTTTAGGGCCCCACCCACCTCTCAGGAGGGAGGACATAGGTCCCCCCCTCATTCTAATTTAGGGCCCCCACCCACCGCTCAGGGGGAGGACATTAGGTGTCCCCCCCAATTAGTTTTTAGGGCCCCCACTCACTGCTCAGTGCTGGGGGCCGGGGGGGAGGACATTAGGTCCCCCCCCTAATTAGTTTTTAGGGCCCCCACCCACTGCCATGGGGTGGGGGCCAGGGTGGAGGACATTAGGTCCCCCCCTAATTAGTTTTTAGGGCCCCCACCCATCACTCAGGGGTGGGGGCCAGGGGGGAGGACATTGGGTCCCCCCCCATTCTAATTTAGTGCCGAAGTTCCGAAGCACAGTATTGCCTAAGTACTAATATACTTACCCAGTGAAAGAAGAAGAATGTTACATTGAATACAATTTTAAATAAAAAGTATACAAACATAGCCAGGATTCAGCTGTAAGCATTTGCAACATTTACAACAATCAAGCAACACACATTCATATAAAATGTAAGTTACTTAGCCAGTCAATGTAATGACAGGAATGAATAAGTAGATAACTCCCTAATTCCCACGGTATTAGGGAGCTATCTACTAAAAGGCTGAAAGACCTAAACTGGTCTTTCAGCTAAATTTACTAATACTGCAGCGGCGGGTGGGGGCCCTAAATACCAATAGGGGGGGACCTATTGTCCTCCCCCCCTCGCACCATCCCTGAGCAGTGGGTGGGGGCCCTAAAAAAAATGTTACCTCCCCCCCAGGTGAGTAGGGGTCCCCAAACCCCAAGTCACCCCCTCCCCCCCAAAAAATAATTAACCCCCTACCTACCCCACTGACCCTAAAAGTAATGAGGGGGGGACATTTAACTAAGAACCTGTAAATAAAATAAAACTTACCATTCGATGTTTTCTTTCTTCTAAAATCTTCTTTTTTCAGCCCCAAAAAAGGCCAAATAAAAAATCAATAATAACCGACGCAATAAAAAAAACAAAAACGAGCGCAAAAAAACATAATCCTTCTTCACCCGGCAAAGGCTCCGCACAGACTGAGCTCTGCAGGGCGGGGCCAGGCTTATAAAGCCTGGCCCCGCCCTGCAATTAGGCTCAGAGCACTCTGATTTATGGGTTTAAGCCATCCAATCAGAGTGCTCTGACAGGTAAATGAAGAGACTGACAGGTAAGTCTCTACATTTACCTGTCACAGCACTCTGATTGGTTGGTTTGAAATCCACCAATCAGAGTGCTCTGTGTCATTTTACACGGCGTGGGAAAGTTCTTTGGAATTTTCCTACGCTGTGTAATTTGACTCCTAACACTCTGAGGACATTAGATCCCCTCCCCTTATTAGTATTTAGGGCCCCCACCCGCCGCTCAGGGGTGGGGGCCAGTGGGGAGGACATTAGGTCACCCCCCTAATTAGTATTTAGGGCCCCCACCTGGTGCTCAGTGGTGGGGGCCATGGGGGAGGACATTAGGTTCCCCCCTATTATAATTTAGGGCCCCCACCTAACGCTCAGGGGTGGGGGCAGGGGGAGGCCAATAGTTTTTTTTTATTATTTGTAGGGGCTCGGGAGGGGGGACCCTTTTTTTTTAACAGTGAGCAGCCACAGGCGGTATAGCGAGTAGGGGTGAAATTTACTAATACTAAGTAATTTTTACTTAATATTAGTAAATTTGGCTGAAAGACCAATTTAGGTCTTTCAGCCTTTTGGTAGATAACTCCCTAATACCGTGGGAATTAGGGAGTTATCTACTAAGCGGCTGCAAAAGAAGTGGCGAAATTCCGAAATGCCGAAATTGCCGAATTTCTGAAGTGCCGAAGTTCCGAAGTGTTTAAGTGCCGAATTGCCAATGTCCCGAATTATGAAAGTCACGAATTTCAGAATGCCGAACCGAACCGAAAACTTTCCCCATGCACATGCCTAATTGTTTGGTTCCTGAGAGAGGGAAAGGGCTAATCACTGTTCCAGCGTGGAGGATTCAGCAGGGAAAGTCCTTGTAAGAACTAGAGCTCTCAGGACTGAGTGTCGTCCAGTGCCTGGGGGATGGATAGAGCGAGTTCACCATTCGGCTCCAGGACCCCAGTCAAGTCTCGGCGACTGTGGGCAGAAGTGCTGCAGTTTTTCTACTGTTCCTGCTAGTAAGCGGTCTTTAGCAGAGTTACCCAGCCAAGGGTACAGGGAGCTCCGTTACAATAGAGTTCTATAAAGAGTTGTATAACCACACCCCACAGGGCCAGACCCCCCTTTGCGAAGATGACAGCATGTAAGCACCTTTCTTTCCAAATTAAAGCTACCTTAACTACACGAAGAGGCAGTGGGAAGGCTTAACAATAGGATCACTAGTGAGGAGATCGACAATGCGATCTCGGCCCTTAAAGGGAACAAGGCGCCAGGCCCAGACAGTTTGGATAGGGGCTACTATAAGGTGTTTCGTGAAGATCTAACCCCCAAGCTCAAACTGCTCTGTAACGATTTTTTTACGAAAACCAGACAAAGACCCCTTGTTGCAGGAAAACTATCGCCCCATCTCCCTTATCAACCATGGCCAATTGGCCAAGATTCTAGCAGACAGGATGAAACCATTCTTAACCAAATTGATCAATGCCGACCAAGTGAGTTTTCATACCAGGGGCTCTAATTATTTGAGAACATGCACAGAAACATTGACATGATTTGGAGACAAGCTACCGCCAAGACTTCTTCCTTGCTGGTTTCCCTTGATGCAGAAAGGCCTTTGATAGGGTCACCTGGCCCTATCTATTCAGTCTCCTTACCTTTTACCTTTCTGGGCTTCGTGACCGCACAAGTCCGTACCCCTTAGGGATGTCAGCGGCAGACATGGCACACATCCAATCCACCTATAGTAAACATGTCAAACTCAAAGTCTGGCACGGGCCACATAAACAAGGTTTAAGTTTATGTGGGCTGCAAAAAAAAAACCAAAACCTTAAATTTTCATAGAAACATAGGTTTATTTCAAAAAGTACAGTATAAAAAAAATAAAATAAAACAGCATCCCCCTTAACTAAACCACAGCACCCCCTCTACTATATCCCAGCCCCGCCTCTACTAAACCACAGTACCCCCTCTACCACCATTTGCCAAATCAGATCCTCCTGCTGACACACCCACATACTCAGACAGACACACACACACACACATACTCACTGACAGACACAGACACACTGACACACACACACACATACTCACAGACACAGACACATTG